GTGAATGCGACCTTTTGGTTTGGGAAGTGTGAACAGGTTGGAGTAGAACCCCTGAAATCACAGACTGGGACAATGACAGCCTGTTCCATAAGACCTTCAATGGAGTAGAACCCCTGAAATCAAAGGGCTGCATGGAGGAGATCTGCTAATCTGGGTGCGGACACAGACAAGTCGCACTTTGATAAACCCGAGGAGGGGACCAGGATGATGGCACCCAGGGAAGAGTCAAAGAAACGTCTCTCAAATGCCGTCCAAACCCAGGGAAGCAGTGCGTCAATGCCACCTCCGCAGCTCACAACGTCAGCCAATAGTCTTCACATGTCCACCGACAGGAGATCGATGCTGGAAATCTCCAACAGCCCATCAACCATCGTTCCATGACCAAGGGATCAACCACCGTCTACTAGTCCTAGAAATGTCAGCCAAGGTTTGACAGATCAGAGTCACAGCCAGAGACTGTCAGAGGGAACGAGGCTCTAGAGAGGGACTCATGAAGTATGTGCTTCCTGCCAGCAAGATGGTGGACGCTTTGCTAAGGTGGGACAATGCCAGACCCACAGAAGGGGCGGATCACTTTCCGGGCTATAAGCACTTAGGGAAGTACAAACATCTCGTCAGTAGGCGTGTCCAGCCTCCTTAAAAGGAAAAGTTGGAGCAGCAGGTGGACTGGAAAGGTCTTGACAAAAAGACGGACTCCTCATGGGCAGGTTCATCTAACAAGGACTGGAGAGATTCAGGATCAGTAATGGTGGATGGCTTGGAAGCCACTAGAGCTGCTGGGAACATGTCTGTGGCCTTTGCAGTCAGCATACCTCTGTGCTATGAATGACTGGATCCTCCTTAGACAAAGATGAGGCGGCTGCAAGGGAAGACTCTAGAGATGGTGCATCAGTAGGCATGCTGCAAGCAGCACCGGGGCAGTTACAATGTGAGCTGGGGGCATTCAGTACAGCAGGACATCCATCATCCTAGGGCAGAGGTACTTGAGGGAATCGCCAGGTGCCGTGCTAGGTGAGAAGCTCTTCAGCCTCTTAGTATCAGTTCCCCCGGCCGCGCCGCTAGATGGCACTGCAGCAGCAATGGCCGGGGAGGATCAGAAGGAGGGGAGCGGACGGGCGTAACCATGTTATGCATTGTGAGGGGAGGTGAATGAACTGACTGGCCAGCAGACAGCCCGCCAGAGAGCACCATTGACCACCTGAGAGCTCACCAAGAGGTCCAAGGCCTAGAAAAAGTTGAGAACCACTGTTCTAGGGCATTAGGAAGCTGGTTGGAGGAAAGGTGATCCTGAGCTGGGTTAGGCGGCGGTATAACCCAACCCAAAGCCGAAGCCTTAAATCTCCAACTCGTACATAGCAGGAAGGCCAGAAGAATGGAGGTGGTCCAATAGTCTCATCTGTGTGACAGATGAGACTAATGAACCCATGTAAGCCTTACTTAGGAGAAGTAGGGTGACCAAGGCATGACAAAACGGGAACAGTCTGGTCAGAGGGATCAGACAAGCCCCCCCCCCAGATACAAAAAAATAAATAAAGCACTGCGTTCACCCAAAGAAACTGAAAGGTGACGCCAGGAACTACAAGCCTGGTCTAAAGATCACGTTTACAGCCGCAGGAAAGGAGTCTGAGAGGGTCAGAGTCCAAAGAGGAAGGAGAGATCCTTCTAGGAGGACATTCCCGTCCTTAAGGTGGCCGAAGGGAAAATATCTCCTACAGATGAGGTGGCCATGAAGACTCTATAGAGCAGGGGTCTCAAACCTCCGGCCCACCAGCTGTGATGAAACTACAAATCCCATGATGCATCTCTCTTCGGGAGTCATCTGTGGCTGTGAGAATCTTGCAATGCCTCATGGGATTTGTAGTTCCACCACAGATGGAGGGCCGGAGGTTTGAGACCCCTGCTCTATAGAGAGCGGGGCTTCTGAATGAGCCAACACAGCCTAGAGTTATGTCAATGTTGAGCTGGATGGAGCGGTGTCTTTAACCTCAAGCACTATGTAAGTATGAATGTGCACCTGGTAAATCGGAGGTTAGGTCCAAGCAAAGCTTGCAGGTGAAGCCATTAGAGATGCGAGAGTCCAGAAATCTGATCCTCTCTTGGGAGGGTCAATGCAAGGCAAGAACACTAGAGACATCCTGAGAACCAGGACCCAAAAGAGCAAGAGGTGAAAGGTCCCCCGGGGGAGGCAGAGGGCTGACGGGGACCAGGTACTGGAAGGGACTCATTAGAACCATCAAGCGCAGACACCCCCCAAACAATGGCAAAGGGCAGCGAGAAGGGAAACCAGACTAAAGAATGTAGTCCAGGGGGTAACCCGAGTGCCCAAATGCTGTGACGGCAAACTGCCCCCGGACCCATTGCAATGATGGAAAAACCCTCCCCCATGAATGTGCGTCCTCACTCCATGTACAGAGGCCAACCGAGCAAGTGACCAACCTCTGGCTGCAAACCCCACAGCCACCAGCGGAAGAGGCTTCCAAATGCTCCCCGCGCTAAGGCAAGAGGCACCAGGGGCTAATGACTGTGGCAAGAGACGGTCTGAAGAGACGTCAAGGCTTGAAGGGTGGCCTAGTTAGATATACCTCTGAGCCAGCACCCCAAGCGGGTAGCCGTGGCATCATCCCCCATGGGGGACACCGGCTTTGATGCTCCTTACAAGCCGTCACAGCTAAACACAAGGCTCCAGACATTTGCTTCACCTACTTAGTGAAGAGAGGGCCCACCTTCCATGCAGAGGGGTCCTCCCTCAGGACCTTTAACCCAATCTAAGACGGTTAGGTAGAATAAAATCACCGGCAGTATCGGGCGGAAGGCTGGTTAGCTCAAACTGGCAATCTAAGAAAGGAATAGAACTGCGAAATGACGGGGGAAGGGGAGCACACCATCCCCCCTCTTGGTGGTCTGCCTGTTAAGTTGGAGCACAGGGGCAGCTACGGTGGGCAATTACCAAATTCCCCCCAGAAAGGGAAAAAAATCCAAACACGATCACGTGGGGCTCAAGATCCCACACAATGGCCCCAGCCCCCGGGAAGGAATGATCCAAATGGCAGAAGTCTTTGCAGTTGTAGGGACTCTAAAAGGCTGATCCTAGAGGTGCCAGGAGGGACACAGCGGACTAATGTTACAAAAAAACCCCCCCCCCCCCACCGAGTCTGAAAAGCAGCCTCATCGAAGACCTACTGGAGGGACTCTGGATCAGATGGTAACAAGACCTGCAGGCTCAGTATGGCTTAAGAGCTTGGGGAAGGGGGTCAGAGACGGACTCGGCCGGTGATGGGCGACGCTTGGAGCCTCGGTCTGTCCCAGTCAAAGTCCACAGAGTTTCCCATGGACATGGGAGAGGCCTTGGCTTTGCATGATGGAGCTAAAGTAGACTCAGGTGAGGACAATTCTCTGACAGAAGTCCCAGACATCGGTTCCTGCTGAGGATACCGGGAGCATGCCCTCAGAACCACAAGAGTAGAATGGACTTTGGTCTCCTGTGGCAGCAGGACTGTCCCCTGTGCTTCTTACAGACGACATGCCATCTCCACATGGTGGTCTGCAACTAAGCCCATTATGAGCCCGAGCCTCAAGTACTTACAAAACATGGGCAAGCTGGTGCTGAGAAGGTTCTGTAAGTGGGCAGTAAAAACACACCAGAGGTCCACGTATTGCTTATAAGAGCAGGAAAATGGTGTCCCTACCAGGCAACACTCCACCCACCAGATGACATCAACGCTCAATCCCTTACCACAGAACAACCAGTGGAGGGGGGACATTCATAAATGGTGCCCAATGAATGGGCTGTGCCTCTGCTAATGCAGTACACTCAGGTCTGGAAAGGGCCACAATGCAGAGCCCAGGGCCTGAAGGTCACGTACCAGGCAAGACTCACAAGGACCAGGGGCCCGCTTAGACAGCGAGTCTACAGAGACAACTAGGGCTGTGCCACAGCTCTGGACCCTAAAAGTGCTCCGGGGCCAACTGTAACAGTACACTCAGGTCTGGAATGCACTGCCATGCAGAGTCCAGGGCCCGAAGGTCACATTTCAGGCTAGTCCCACAGGCCATCAGATCCAGGCTGAGGAAACACTGGTACCGGCAGCTGCTACAAAGAGAGCAATACAAGCTAATGCAGGGAGGACCTCTCACTGAGGAATTAACCGTCTTGGTCAGGAGGCTGAGAAGAGACAAATCCAGCACAGTTGAAGAAAAGTTGCCCAGCCTTCCAGGTCACGGGGGCGGGCCTACAATTCTTCTGTGCCGGGGTCCAATCCTCCTGAACCCAGCAGTCTAACGTGACTGTTTCTCAAATCTCATCTAGCGCAGCACACGGCACCTGGCGACTCCCTCAACTGTGGGCTGTGTCCTACAGGTTGACTACCTCTGCCTCAAGGCTGGACCTCAAGGGGGGGCCTCAAGGCGGGACCTCAAGGGGGGCCTCAAGGCGGGACCTCAAGGGGGGGCCTCAAGGCGGGACCTCAAAAAGGGGGGGGCCTCAAGGCTGGACCTCAAGGGGGGCCTCAAGGCTGGACCTCAAGGGGGGCCTCAAGGCTGGACCTCAAGGGGGGCCTCAAGGCTGGACCTCGGATGTCGTCCTGCCACTCCCTGTGACTTACCTGAAGATATTACCATTGCACCAGCACTGCAGCTCATGGGGTCTTCAGAGAGCGGTCCTGATATGAAGGGGATTGAACGGTTTAGGGAGGAGTTTGAGGCTCCACCCCCAAAGCACACGCGTCAGTGTACACATATACACACATCAGTGAACACAGTTTGAAATAATTCTCTTTATACAAGAAAGTCTACAATTAAAAACCAGACTCTGTCTTCCCACGCACGACCGGCCCCTGAAAAAAAGGGGCGGGGGGAATTCATAGAGTTCATGGTCACCACTCTCCCCTCCCCCCCGATAAGTGTCCTAGAGAAGGGGGGCCGGGGGGGTCAGCAGCTTCCTTCCTCAGGTGGGGTGTACAGTCCGTCTCTGTAGATGGGGCGGAGGAAGGGAGGTGATGAACGGGGGATGACGGGGGCGCAATGTCACCACAGTCGATGCTGGTGAAGGTTACGGCTTAGGACAGAGCGGATATCGGCTGTAAACCTGCATGTGAGAGGAGAAGACGCACGTTAGTGGTGTGCACAATAAAGTTACATCATTCAAAAATGTATCACAGGAACCTCAACGTTATAGTGGTCAGAAGAGCCAAACATAGAGAAGGTGGAGAGTCCCCAATACCACCAGGTGACCCTGTGCTCGGCACCCTCTCACCCCAGCTGATGGATGAGATGTCCTGATATACAATGTATTCTGAGCCCTGGTGATGGATGATGACATGTCCTGATATACAATGTATTCTGAGCCCTGGTGATGGATGATGACATGTCCTGATATACAGTGTATTCTGAGCCCTGGTGATGGATGACATGTCCTGATATACAATGTATTCTGAGCCCTGGTGATGGATGACATGTCCTGATATACAATGTATTCTGAGCCCTGGTGATGGATGATGACATGTCCTGATATACAATGTATTCTGAGCCCTGGTGATGGATGATGACATGTCCTGATATACAATGTATTCTGAGCCCTGGTGATGGATGACATGTCCTGATATACAATGTATTCTGAGCCCTGGTGATGGATGACATGTCCTGATATACAATGTATTCTGAGCCCTGGTGATGGATGACATGTCCTGATATACAATGTATTCTGAGCCCTGGTGATGGATGACATGTCCTGATATACAATGTATTCTGAGCCCTGGTGATGGATGACATGTCCTGATATACAATGTATTCTGAGCCCTGGTGATGGATGACATGTCCTGATATACAATGTATTCTGAGCCCTGGTGATGGATGACATGTCCTGATATACAATGTATTCTGAGCCCTGGTGATGGATGACATGTCCTGATATACAATGTATTCTGAGCCCTGGTGATGGATGACATGTCCTGATATACAATGTATTCTGAGCCCTGGTGATGGATGACATGTCCTGATATACAATGTATTCTGAGCCCTGGTGATGGATGACATGTCCTGATATACAATGTATTCTGAGCCCTGGTGATGGATGACATGTCCTGATATACAATGTATTCTGAGCCCTGGTGATGGATGACATGTCCTGATATACAATGTATTCTGAGCCCTGGTGATGGATGACATGTCCTGATATACAATGTATTCTGAGCCCTGGTGATGGATGACATGTCCTGATATACAATGTATTCTGAGCCCTGGTGATGGATGACATGTCCTGATATACAATGTATTCTGAGCCCTGGTGATGGATGACATGTCCTGATATACAATGTATTCTGAGCCCTGGTGATGGATGACATGTCCTGATATACAATGTATTCTGAGCCCTGGTGATGGATGACATGTCCTGATATACAATGTATTCTGAGCCCTGGTGATGGATGACATGTCCTGATATACAATGTATTCTGAGCCCTGGTGATGGATGACATGTCCTGATATACAATGTATTCTGAGCCCTGGTGATGGATGACATGTCCTGATATACAATGTATTCTGAGCCCTGGTGATGGATGACATGTCCTGATATACAATGTATTCTGAGCCCTGGTGATGGATGACATGTCCTGATATACAATGTATTCTGAGCCCTGGTGATGGATGACATGTCCTGATATACAATGTATTCTGAGCCCTGGTGATGGATGACATGTCCTGATATACAATGTATTCTGAGCCCTGGTGATGGATGACATGTCCTGATATACAATGTATTCTGAGCCCTGGTGATGGATGACATGTCCTGATATACAATGTATTCTGAGCCCTGGTGATGGATGACATGTCCTGATATACAATGTATTCTGAGCCCTGGTGATGGATGACATGTCCTGATATACAATGTATTCTGAGCCCTGGTGATGGATGACATGTCCTGATATACAATGTATTCTGAGCCCTGGTGATGGATGACATGTCCTGATATACAATGTATTCTGAGCCCTGGTGATGGATGACATGTCCTGATATACAATGTATTCTGAGCCCTGGTGATGGATGACATGTCCTGATATACAATGTATTCTGAGCCCTGGTGATGGATGACATGTCCTGATATACAATGTATTCTGAGCCCTGGTGATGGATGACATGTCCTGATATACAATGTATTCTGAGCCCTGGTGATGGATGACATGTCCTGATATACAATGTATTCTGAGCCCTGGTGATGGATGACATGTCCTGATATACAATGTATTCTGAGCCCTGGTGATGGATGACATGTCCTGATATACAATGTATTCTGAGCCCTGGTGATGGATGACATGTCCTGATATACAATGTATTCTGAGCCCTGGTGATGGATGACATGTCCTGATATACAATGTATTCTGAGCCCTGGTGATGGATGACATGTCCTGATATACAATGTATTCTGAGCCCTGGTGATGGATGACATGTCCTGATATACAATGTATTCTGAGCCCTGGTGATGGATGACATGTCCTGATATACAATGTATTCTGAGCCCTGGTGATGGATGACATGTCCTGATATACAATGTATTCTGAGCCCTGGTGATGGATGACATGTCCTGATATACAATGTATTCTGAGCCCTGGTGATGGATGACATGTCCTGATATACAATGTATTCTGAGCCCTGGTGATGGATGACATGTCCTGATATACAATGTATTCTGAGCCCTGGTGATGGATGACATGTCCTGATATACAATGTATTCTGAGCCCTGGTGATGGATGACATGTCCTGATATACAATGTATTCTGAGCCCTGGTGATGGATGACATGTCCTGATATACAATGTATTCTGAGCCCTGGTGATGGATGACATGTCCTGATATACAATGTATTCTGAGCCCTGGTGATGGATGACATGTCCTGATATACAATGTATTCTGAGCCCTGGTGATGGATGACATGTCCTGATATACAATGTATTCTGAGCCCTGGTGATGGATGATGACATGTCCTGATATACAGTGTATTCTGGGGCCAGCGCGGAGACCTCGTGCGACCACGTGGAGGGCCAATATGGAAAACACATGTTTGGGACTGACACGGTAGGACTAACACACCTCAAGGCGTCCAGCATGGGAAGCAGGTTGAGGAGGGCGGTGTCACTGGGATCACTGAACCAGGACTTGATAGGAATCGCGTTATCTGCAAGTCAAAATACAACATGTCTCAGTACATACATCACAGGACCACAGGAAAGCCACACACCGCACAGGGAGATTCAGAGGAAAGCCACACACTGCACCGTACAGGGAGATTCAGAGGAAAGCCACACACTGCACCGTACAGGGAGATTCAGAGGAAAGCCACACACACCGTACAGGGAGATTCAGAGGAAAGCCACACACACCGTACAGGGAGATTCAGAGGAAAGCCACACACTGCACCGTACAGGGAGATTCAGAGGAAAGCCACACACTGCACTGTACAGGGAGATTCAGAGGAAAGCCACACACTGCACCGTACAGGGAGATTCAGAGGAAAGCCACACACCGCACAGGGAGATTCAGAGGAAAGCCACACACTGCACCGTACAGGGAGATTCAGAGGAAAGCCACACACACCGTACAGGGAGATTCAGAGGAAAGCCACACACACCATACAGGGAGATTCAGAGGAAAGCCGCACACTGCACCGTACAGGGAGATTCAGAGGAAAGCCACACACACCGTACAGGGAGATTCAGAGGAAAGCCACACACACCGTACAGGGAGATTCAGAGGAAAGCCACACACACCGTACAGGGAGATTCAGAGGAAAGCCACACACACCGTACAGGGAGATTCAGAGGAAAGCCACACACACCGTACAGGGAGATTCAGAGGAAAGCCACACACACCGTACAGGGAGATTCAGAGGAAAGCCACAAACACTGTACAGGGAGATTCAGAGGAAAGCCACACACACTGTACAGGGAGATTCAGAGGAAAGCCACACACACCGTACAGGGGGAAGCCACACACACCGTACAGGGGGAAGCCACACACATCGTACAGGGGGAAGCCACACACACCGTACAGGGAGATTCAGAGGAAAGCCACACACACCGTACAGGGAGATTCAGGAAAGCCACACACACACACCATACAGGGAGATTCAGAGGAAAGCCACACACACCATACAGGCGTATTAAGAGGAAAGCCACACACACAGTACAGGGAGATTCAGAGGAAAGCCACACACACCGTACAGGGAGATTCAGAGGAAAGCCACACACACCGTACAGGGAGATTCAGAGGAAAGCCACAAACACTGTACAGGGAGATTCAGAGGAAAGCCACACACACTGTACAGGGAGATTCAGAGGAAAGCCACACACACCGTACAGGGGGAAGCCACACACACCGTACAGGGGGAAGCCACACACATCGTACAGGGGGAAGCCACACACACCGTACAGGGAGATTCAGAGGAAAGCCATACACACCGTACAGGG